CTGTAGTCCCAGCTACTCAGGAGACTGAGGCAGGAGAGTCTCTTGAACCTGGCAGGCGGAGGTTGCAGTGAGCCGAGATCGCTCCACTGCACTCCAGCCTAGATGACAGAGCAAGATTCCATCTCAAGAAAAAAGAAAAAAAAAAAAAAAAGCTGAGGGTGACTATTATCATGTCAGGCAAGAATTCACAATGCAAGGATATAAGGTAATACCCAGCTCACAGTACAATCTCACAGTACCATATTTACATTGCCCAAGTAGTGTTGAATACAGAAGAGAAGCTTAACTTGTTGTTAAATGGATTTTTATTCTATAAACTATACACAATATTCCAGATTATATTAAAGTTCATGTGACATTGTTAGTGAATGAAAAATTAGATGTTTTCTATTACTCAGCAATTTGAACAATAAGTAAGAATTAACGGGAGAAGGGAAAGTGGTAGAAAAAAAGGATCTCTGTTTCTTCAAAAGTACATGGTAACATCAAATTGAGCTGAACACACTTGTGTCTCAGGAGGCTCGAGTTTTTCCAGGAAGGAAAATGCCCATGCAAACAAGTTTACCCTAGTGTTTTTCACGTTCCTCCTGGTGTTGGATTTGTCAGAATGTTATTAATGCAGCATAACACAACAAATGTACAAGACTCAGGACCCCCATTTGACTACTGTTTAAGTTGCTCATGCCTCCAATGGTCTCTATCTGGAAGCGGACTTTTAAAATTAAGTCATGTGCAGTTTTCTTAGAAACCATACAAGAGCAGTTTCTAAGGTGGTCTTAAAAGATCTTAACATTGAGTATGAATGATAGGAAATTTCAGCTATTACTTAGATTGTGATAGGTTATCAGGTAATGATATACTTTCTATATTACTTTTAATTTTCTTATTTTAGAATCTTTGAGCTAAAATTTTTTAATCCAGTGTATTTGATTTTATAAAAAGATAAAGCCCTAATAATGTTGGCTTTGAGCAGTCAGTTTAATTTATAAGTTGATAGTTTTTCAAGGGGTGTTAACCTCAAGAATCTGTCTGTGCTTCTCTGGGAATTAGCAACAAAGCAGCAAATTATAACTACACGGCCAGTGGATCCCATTGGTGTGGAGCTGTGTGCATCTGAGAATCTAGAGCTCCATCTCTATTCTAACAGCACCATCACTTGGAAGGTGGAAAATTTTAGTTAGTCAGTACTTAAAAAAAATCTAAGTTTGTTTTGTTTTGTTTTGAGACGGAGTCTTGCTCTGTCGCCCAGGCTGGAGTGCAGTGGCATGCAAGCTGGGCTCACTGCAAGCTCCACCTCTCGGGTTCACGCCATTCTTCAGCCTCAGTCTCCCAAGTAGCTGGGACTACAGGTGCCCATCACCACGTCTGGCTAATTTTTTTTGTATTTTTAGTAGAGACAGGGTTTCACTGTGTTAGCCAGGATGATCTCAAACTCCTGACCTTGTGATCCTCCTGCCTTGGCCTCCCAAAGTGCTGAGATTGCAGTCGTGAGCTACTACACCTGGCCTTTTTTTTTTTTTTTTTTTAGAGGGAGTGCTGGAGTGCAGCGGCACAATCTTGGCTCACTGCAACCTCTGCCTCCTGGGGTCAAGTGATTCTCCTGCCTCAGCCTCCCGAGTAGCTGAGATTTACAGGCATGCACCACCATACCCAGCTAATTTTTTTGTTTTTTTAATTTTTAGTAGAGATGGGGTTTTGCCCTGTTGGCCAGGCTGGTCTCGAACTCCTGACCTCAGAGGATCCGCCCACCTCAGCCTCCCAAAGTGCTTGGATTACAGGCGTGAACCACCCGCGCCTGGCCAAAAAAATGTAAGATTAATCTTTACTATGGCAAACTAGTGTGACTGACTTTTCAACCAAACAGATTGGTCATATCAGTTAAAACACTTAAAATGTTTTCCTTTTTTTTTTTTTTTTTTTGCCTGAGCACAGGGGACTTTATTCATGGCATACAACAGGGTGAGGCTCCCTAGAACCCTCCCTCTTCAGGGTGTCTGTGTGGACATTGTGTGGAGGGGAGATTCTCAGCGTGGTAGGGGACTGAGTGTGGACAGGGACTCCCAGCAGCTGAGGGTCTCTTCCTTTCATGATGTCACTGGGGCTGGTGGTCCAGGGATCTTACTCCTTGGAGGCCATGTGGGCCATGAGGTCCACCCCCGTATTGCGGTAGCCAAATTCATTGTCATACCAGGAAATGAGCCTGACAGAGTGGTTGTTGAGGGCATTGCCAGCCCCAGCATGGAAGATGGAAGAGTGGGTGTCACTGTTAAAGTTGAAGGAGACAATCTGGTGCTCAGTGTAGCCCAGGATGCCTTTGAGGGGCCCTCTGACGCCTGCTTCACTACCTTCTTGATATCCTCATATTTGGCAGGTTTCTCCAGATGGTAGGTCAGGTCCACAACTGACACATTGGCGACGGGGACATGGAAAACCATGTCAGTGAGCTTCCTGTTCATCTCGGGGATGACCTTGCCCACAGCCTTAGCAGTGCCAGTAGATGCAGGGATGATGTTCTGGAGAACCCCACAGCCATCATGCCACAGTTTCCCTTGGGGCCATCCACAGTCTTCTGGGTGGCAGTGATGGCGTGAACTGTGGTCATGAATCCTTCCATGATGCCTAAGTTGCCATAGATAGCTTTGGCCAGGGGTGCTAAGCAGTTGGTGGTACAGGAGGCACTGCTGACGATCTTGAGACTGTTGTCATACTTCTCATGGTTCATGCCTATATGAACATGGGGGTCTCAGCAGAGGGGGCAGAGATGATGACCCTTTTGGCTCCCTGCTGCAAGTGAGTCCCAGCCTTCTCCATGGTCGTGAAGGTACTGGTGGACTCCACAATGTACTGAGCATCAGCATTGCCCCATTTGATTTTGGTGGGATCTCACTCCTGAAAGATGGTGATGGGATTTCCATTGATGACAAGCTTCCCATTCTCAGCCTTGATGGTGCTGTGGGATATGCCATGGGTGGAACCATACTGGAACATGTAGACTATGTAGTTGAGGTCAAGGGAGAAGTCATTGTTGGCGAGAACATCTACTTTACTGGAGTTAAAAGCTGCCCTAGTGACCAGCGCCAAATCCTTTTACTGTGGCCTTCACCTTCACCTTCACCAGGGATGTGGCTAGCACTGCACGAAAAGATGTGGCTGTCTCTTGAACGGGAGGAGCAGAGAGCCTTAAGATTCTGCATGTTTATATAAACATAGCCCTAGAATGGTCTGTTTCACTCATTTACCCACTCAGCATTTCCAGAGTGGTGTGCTTCTATGTGAAACACATGGTCAGGTACAGGGAAACTGAGATGTATGTTAACACAAGCTTCTGCCCATAACTGACTTTCAATTACAGAAACCTGAAAACTCAAAACCAAGACTGGATGAGAAGGGCTCATATGGGTGCTATAGGAGCTAGAAGAGCTTCTAAGTTGAGTTGGGTGCCTGGTCAAGGCTTCCCTTGAGAAAGAGCCAGAGAAGGGTGTTAGAGACATGGCGTCCAGCAAGGAGTGGAGGGAGATGACCCAAAATGGATGTCTGCTGCTTTCTCATGTATCATTTTAATGTGTTATTTCCCATTGTTCCAAATTCCTATGAAAGTGCATTGCTATTTAAATATGGTAAAGGTACCTTATTAAGTTCTTCTGCTTGTGGGATACTCTAGAGTCTACCTAGTCCTTACCCATTTGCTCAATGTAAAATAGTTTATTGCATTTTTTATGCTGACATCCTGGTTTGTTGTAGAAAGTGGTCTGTTTTTAGGCTAAAGAGAAATTTAAACTCACTTCTCTCAAAAAGAACTCTGGAGATAAGTTCATATAAAACATTATCTTCAACAGCTCCCACTGTTTATATGATTTGATGCCCCACTGAGCCGCCACAGGAAGCTTCAAACACATCTTGGCTCACACTTTTTCAGACCAAGGTTACTTGTCTTCTGATGAGACTCCCCAAGGTTTCAGTACTTAGGAAAAGCTCGTTTAGAGAAACAAGTAGAGAGGATTGCCTGAAGTTTATGCAGCCCCTCTTTCTTCTTAGAAATTCCAGGCATTTATCTATCCTTGGATTAAGCCAGATCACCAAAATGAGGAGTTCTTGACTGACCTCATCCTGACCCCTCATGAAACAGAGTGAAGTGCTTACTGTCTTCTACCAGAGCCTCCAGCCCCAGCCTCCTCTGAGTGATGTTGTAACACTCAGCCCTACAAAACTCCCCGTTGTATAGCTGATGTCTTCACTCAGTCCCTAAACACAGGGCCCTCTTTACAAAGACCTATAGGAGAAATGACTCCTTGGTCTCAGTGCCAGGAACAATTGTTCTCATCCAAGCAATGAGTTTGCTGTGAGCTTTATGCTACATGAACCACCAACCTGATCTCTGTTGCTAGGAAACTGAGAGACAGGGCAGCAGGCTTGCCTCTGGCACGGGTACCAAACTTCTCAGCTTTGATTTCTTTGTTAGCCCCACTTCCGTCTTTACCTTATTTTGTAAGCTCTTGTTTTTCTTCTCATTTTCTCTCCTATTTTAGGCTATTGAATTACCTGAGTTTTTGTAAGCTACTGAAATTCTTTAAGGAATAAATTTGGGGTATAAACATGAATTAAGTATCCTTAGTTACTCTGTTTAGAGGACAAAACATATACAAATTACTAGTTTTCACATAACAACTATACTCAATAGAGCTGGCATTAAAACTGCTACTCTTGTGAATATGACTGAACTATACATTCTGTGTCAGGGGTCTTGACTAACTTGGTCACCTCTCTATCTCAGTTGCTAGTGCTGTGCTTGGCATGTAGCAGATGCTCAGTACATATTTCCTCAGCGATTTGAACAAACGGTCTTTCAGTAACTAAAGTTTACCAGTGGTACAGTCTGTGGCTGCTCAGAAGCAAAGTGAAGGCCTAATGCTCTCGTGTTTCCTCTACCTTTTTTGGACACGGGTTGGGGTGTAGGACACTGCTGACCCCCTCCTGATGCTCTCCTGTCTCTGTCTCTGCAGACTCACATTTCAAGACTCCCTCCCGGTGCGGTGGCAGGACAGTCCGTGGCAATCGAAGGTGGGGTGTGCCGCCTGGAGAGCCCAGTGAACTGACCCTTCAGGCTGAGCGTGAAGCGTCTGAGAGGCGTTTCAGAACCTGAGCTTTTTGGGATTTTTAACTGAAGTTGGCTGTTTTATCTTTCTTGTTTTATAATTCCTATTGCAACCTCGTGCACTGCTCGAGACACAAGTGCTGCTGTAGTTAGCGCTTAGTGACACGCGGGCCTTTGGCGGGTGAGCGGGACTGTGTGTGTGTGTGTGTGTATGTGTGTGCGCGCGCGTGTGTGCGCACATGTGTGCGTGTGTGTATGTGTGGAGTATGTGTGTTTGCTTCTCCCTGGATGAAATAGAAACTCCTCATTGTGTGACCAGGAATGGTTAAATCATCTTTACAAAATGTGTGCTTTAACTGTTTACAAGTAAAACCTAAAGTTGCAGGAAACATTTTTTATTTCATAAAGAGGTACCAACTGTCGCTGATGTAATGTGTCAGAACTGAAGAGTAAATCTACTTGTTTAAATGACTTGACAGTGGTAGTGCTTCATTTAATAACAGTGATAAGTAATAAAATGTTTTTATTTGTTAACCAGTTTAAGTGGATCCTGTGGTAACTTAAACTGTTGTTCTCATCCCTTATACGGGGCATTTTTCTTTAACAAAGAATGGTTTCAGTGAAACAATCTAGCAGAGAATTAATGTCAGAACCTTTTTAAATAATAGTCTGATTGATACAGTTTGTACTTCTTTCATCAAGCTTTTCTAAGCTTAAATATTGCATAGCTTCGAGCTGTATGGACTATATTATGAAAGAATATGTAAAGAGAACATACAGTAATGCACAGTCCTTAATTTGTGTATAATGGAATGTTATTTACAATATAACACTGTAAATAAGAAAGCAAAGTTTATGGGAAAATTCAATATTATCTTTGTTTTTGTTTAAATATATTTTTAAGATAAAGGCACAAAAATAAAAGAAGTGTATTACTGGGTATAGTATGTGACTCCTCTTCTCAGACTAATAAATTATCTTTTGAATCCTTGATTGGACAGTTGTTATTTATTTTGTTTATAAAATGTTCTCCCGGAAATCATACCATTATTCATCTTGCTGTTATTCTAATTGTTCCAAGGCCAGTCTTACGCAGTTAAAGAAGACACTGGCAAGATGAAAGTTGAACTTAGTACATGACTGAATGGTCAATAATGGAAGTCCCAAAATTTCTGTTGCAATTTGATAGAAATAACAAAGAGAAGGAAGAAGAACACTTTGCTTTGAAAAATTGTAGTGGCAGCTAAAAGCTCGATAGTTTCAGTTGATAAATTACTTCTAAATGTTGTATTCAGGGATTCTGGAGCCACGTAAGAAAACCAAGACTTTCCTTTTGATTTTTTTTTTTTTTAATGTAAGAAGTGGTTATCAAGAAGATACTAAAGATAGACTCGCTCAAGGGGAGGAAGTTCCCTGCACCATGTAATCATGGCTCTGGGCGGTAACTGATAAAGCCCAGATAAAATTATACACTTGACATCAATGTATGGCCAAATTATAAAGGAAAGACAACCAAAATGGAGTGGGTGTAAATATGAATAATTTGAGAGTTGCCGATTTGTATTCCTGGTACAGGCAATTACATTTGTCTTGCTGTGCTCTCATAGACAGGTTGGTGCCATGGTATCTGTTTCTCATTCTTAATCAGGCTGAGAACTTAGTGAGAGATGGGCTGGCTGGTGGGGAGCCTTTGGCTTCAAAAGCTTTCGAAGACCTGTTACCTGTTGGCAGAGATTTTTCAGGAACTGGATTGGATCACATAAAACTATCAGGACACTTTGGAGTCTGAAAATCGTCTGACCAATTTCACCAGGAATGCCACTTCTTTCATCTCCTTTTGCCTTTTCTCCATTTATATTTAAAAGTCTGAGCTTGTTAAGGACCCCTTTTATTAAGAGTTTAAAAACTGGCCAGTATAAAAGAGTACAGCCTCTCCAAGAACAGTTTGTCAAGACTTTACTCTCCAATTTTCTAAACTTTTTAAAAGGAATATTGTGAAGCCAAGAGGGGGAACATAGTGATATTCAGAATCATGGAGGCAAAAATATAACAGGTAATATAAGTTCCTTCCTTATCAGATCAGATATTAAAGATCAGCTACGGGAACCAGAGAATACTGAGAGATGTAAAGTCAACTTCATTTCACACTAGAGTAGAAAAGGTAGAAACAGATAGGGAAATAACCTCATTCTGTAGTCTAGCTTATGTCACCAAGAACCTGAAGCTGTGTATTAAGTTGCCCACTTTTAACATGGATACTTTTAACTGTGGGCCTATATTTGATTTCTTTGTAAGGTCTGAGTGCTGGATATCTGGTTCTCTTGAGTACAATTAAGCCTAGTCTGGATTCCTCAAGGTGGTCACTGACCTAGCTCTGGGTTTGGAAACAGGGGCATCTCCAGGGCTTGGTGAGGAGGCAAGAGCATGTGGTTTTGCTTAAGGCACCTGGAGCGCCTGTGCTGATTGGGCTGTCTTGTCAGCTCTGCCACTGCTTTCTCTGCCTTCAGTATGTCTGCCTATGGCAGGCCCTTTCTTACCTTCTAATTACCGCTTCTGAATGTGAACTTGATGTGGAGAAAGGAAAACACTTATACTCTGCTGGTGGTGATGTAAATTATGTCAGCCACTGTGGAAAGCAGCCTGGAGATTTCTCAAAGAACTTAAAATGGAACTACCATTCAACTCAACAATCCCGTTACTAGGTATATACCTAAAGAAATGTAAGTCATTCTGCTGTAAAGACAATACATGCGTATGTTCATTGCAGCACTATTCACAATAGCAAAGACATGGAATCAACCTAGATGTCCATCAGCAGTGAACTAGATAAAGAAAACGCGGTACATATACGCCATGGAATACTACACAACCATAAAAAAGAACGAAATCGGCTGGCCACGTTGGCCCACGCCTGTAATCCCAGCACTTTGGGAGGCCAAGGCGGGCGGATCACCTGAGGTCAGGAATTTGAGACCAGCCTGGCCAACATGGTGAAACCCCATCTCTACTAAAAAATACAAAAATTAAGCTGAGCGTGGTGGTGGGTGCCTATAATCCCAGCTAATTGGGAGGTTGAGGCAAGAGAATCACTTGAACCTGGGAGGCAGAGGTTGCAGTGAGCCAAGATCATGCCATTGCACTCCAGCCTAGGTGACTGAGTGAAACTCCATCTCCAAAAAAAAAAAAGAATGAAATCATGTCCTCTGTGGCAACATGAATGGAGCTGGAGGCCATTATCCTAAGCAGAGAATCAAATACTGCATATTCTCACTTATAAGTGGGAGCTAAACTAAACACTGAGTTCACGTGGACTCAAAGAAGGGAACAATCGACACCAAGGCCTACTTGAGGGTGGAGGGAGGGTGAGAAGAGGGTAAGAATTGAAAAACCACCTATCAGGTCCTATGCTGATTAACTGGGTGATAAAATTATCTGTAAACCAAACCCCCACAACACTCTACCCATGTAACAAACCTGCACACCTACACCCTGAACCTAAAATAGTAGTTGGAAAGATAGAAAATTAATGTGAAATTGAATTTGGATATCAATATCTGTTAGAAATTTTTACAAAGTGTGTATAAATAAGTCCTAGATGCTAGTCTGAGGGGCTTGTCTGTGAGCAAAGTGAATGAATTTTGGTTTATGGATATGAGGACATCTCTCGACGCTACTCAAAAGCCTTTTTTGCATAATTCCCAGTTTTCTGCCACATTTGAGA